TGATTAAATTAAAGCACTGATGAAGGTTGATTTCCTTTTTTTTCCAATCATTGATTACTGTTTATCGCTTCAACCTGATGCAAAACTATTCAAGGAGTGGAGAGTAATAGAGAAGTAATTAGAACTATTAGATGGTTGCAAGCAATCGATAGGAAGGCCAACCTGACCTAGATTTCGGGCTACTTGGCACTGACCAGTCATCTTGAAGGAAGTAATGTCCTGCCTTGTGAGATTCAATCCCCCCGCGTGCGTCACCACCAAATGCTGCAGACAGCCATCTTCATCACCTCCATCTTCTCTATGTACACCAGGAGTCAGCCCTGTCTTTTCTGCCTGAATGCTTCTTCAACCAGTTTGCTGCTCTTCACCTGCTAGTCTCTCAGTTGGTGTGACATTAAACACAAATCATCCAATCACGAAATCCAGATCTTCGACAGTCTTCTTATCGGTTAGTGGAGCGTACTCCTGTCTTCTCACTCGCCAGTCACAGTTTGACCGTACCAATAATCATGGATATTGAATTACCGTAGTCATTTGAAGAATTCATACTTTATTGGACTGATTTCAAGATAACTTTGTTTTTCCCTGAATCAGTGGAAGCCGAATGTTGTAAATAAAGGAAATCCTATTGTTCATACGTTAACTGACTTTCAGACCTGCTGGATGAAAGTATAGTGAGGAATTATGATCAGTGTGATTGAATTGGAAGGGTCTCGAATGATGACTGTGCTGCACTGGGAATTGCCATAGCTGGAAATAGATGTGTTAATTTTCATTCTAATTACGGGGCTGAATGACAGTGGAGGATATGAAGCCTTAAGTGTCATTGACGAGTAAAACTGTCAATACCAAATTAGAATATAAAACACAAAATAATTGAGCCAGCAAAGAATATCCCCTTTTCGATAAATTCCTCTTCTGGCTCTACAATTATATGCATATATGTTTACATACAGAGAATACTCTAGAATAGTAGTGAATAACAATATCAGTGCGTTTTTTAAATAATATCGATTTGTTAAGTAAGATCACAATGGAATTACAGTTCACTGAAGATGCTTAAATTATAATAACAATAAAGATATAGTAGGAAATAGCATATCGACTAAAATGAAGAAAATTCCACAAAAATTGAGGATCATTCAAACCTAGATGGTTAAGCAAAGGCCAAACAAAATCTATTCGCAGCGCTATTCTATCTCATCTTGTGGATACAGAACACAAGATTGATGTTAACCATGCTTTCAGGGTCATTTACCGCATACCAACGAATCTCAAGTTTGCCTTTAGAGTTCGTCTACTAAATATTCCTGAAGCTGTTGGGATCCATATTAAGAAGCCTAATTTGTGCATCCAAAAGAAGTTAGTTTAGACATTATCCTTACCTTGGCCATCTAGGTTTGAATGATCCTCAATTTTTGTGGAATTTTCCTAATTTTAGTTGATATTCTATTTCCTAATATATCTTTATTGTTACTATAATTTAAGCATCTTTAATGAACTGTAATTCCATTGTGATCTTACTTTACAAATCGATATTATCTAAAAAAACACTAATATTGTTATTCACTACTATTCTAGAGTGTTCTATGTTTATAAAGATGTATACATATAATTGTAGAGCAGGAAAAGGAAATTATCGAGACGGATATTCACTGCTCAATTATTTATTGTTCTACAGGTGTCTGAACGAATATTTTTGCTATTTTGAAATTAGAATATGCTGTCTGTTCTCCTTTGTCTGATTCTCAACACATTATTATTATCATCGCTCGGGCCCGAATAGCTGAGTGGTAACATCTCTGACTGACTGCTATACTGGGTTATGATGTGGGTTCGAATCTCTCAAGGCACATGAGTTCATCCAATATTGCACATACGCTCTACTGATTGGGAAGTGCCAACTAGCACTAAACCTGGTTCAGGCAAGGCTTCCTGCCGATTGCCAGACGGTCTTAAACCACCCAAATTCTGACCATCTGTTTGAGCAAACAAGCAATACATTGAGTGAAATTCACAATTTGAAATGAGTTTCATGTAAAACTGTACGGATACTAGAAACCTGAAAAATAAAATAAAATTCTTCAATATTTTGGATACAGGATTTCATCATGAGCTGACATTGCCGTTAGAGAACGACTGGAAAACCAACTGGAAGTACTGAACAGTTGCTTCGTTCTGGTTTGGAATTCTTCAGCAGTACACACCCGCCGGGGTTTGAACCCAGGACCTTCTAGTTACAAGGCGAGCTCGTAAACCATTAGGCCAGCCACTAGGACCCGCCAATCCAATGACCCGTCAGCCCATGAATTCTAACTTCTGCCATATCACGACATAGCGCGACCACTAGCCAATGTCTTCGACGAGTATTTATCCTCATACCCGACCTGCTGCACCCTACTGGTCAAGACTCCTTACTAGAACCAAGGTAACTATCTAGGACGAAACAGCTATCCAGTACTCCCAGGCTTTCAAATGCTTCTCCAACTAATGTCAGCTCATGATGAAATCATGTAACCAATCAATTGAATCCCTACAAAACCAATACTTGAATATCGTCAATTATTTTTCTGAAAGGGCTATGGGTGTGTATTTTTCGTGAAACCCCTAGCTCAGCCACACACACACATGGATTATATAACTGATTCTGTTACAAAATCGATGAGAAAATAAAACTATTCCTAACAAAAGATAGATTTGAACAAAGCAAGAACAACAATTGTACCAGGATAATTAATATGAGCTCATCTTTTATTATTTCGAGGATTCTTCTCAACTGGTTACAACCTGAACGTTAAAAAATATGAATTACATTAAAGATATGAACATACTTTTCCATGATCACAAGGAGTAATTCGTTGGTAGGAAGTAAAAGTGACATTAGTCCGGAATGATTTAACTGATTAGGAGTTACAAACACTGACTATTTATAGAATAATTAGACAATTAGGCTTGGAAACATAAAACAGATTTGCGTATATATATGTGTGTGTAGATAGATAGATTTATCACACTGGTGGTTCTTAGATCATGGAATCATTTGGAAAATCATGAAACAAACTCGAGTGTTTGTGAAAAAGAAAGTCCAAAATGGAGTCTCTTCTCTATTATTTTCTTATTTGAAATTTAAGCCACTTGGATAATACTGTACAAATGCAGTATTTAATATCGATCGATCGATCTATTGATTGATTGATTGAATAGTTTGGCATCACGGAATATACACATTGGATCATAGGAATTATTAAAAAGACGGTTGCAGAGAAGAAAATTCTCTTTTTAACGAAGTCAGCACCAACTAGGAGGCTGTACATTCGTGTATTCATAACAAATGGATGGAAAAGTTCCAGAATAATTTCTGGTGAAGGGTAAGATTAAGAGAATTAAAATTAGGAATTAAAATGGCGTAATAAACATGTTGGAGGACGAATAAAGCTCAAACAAAGTAGCATCATAATTACTGTTAAGATTGATACATTGTGCAGTTAGGGGTTAGAAATGTAGAAATAACAAGAATAGACAGGATGGTTGGATAAAAAGTCTAGTGGGATCATAACTAATGTGACGAATAATTGTTTATGTAATCAGGGATTAAATATGTAGAAATAATAAAATGACAAAATGGACAGGAAGTTCGGATATGAAAATATGGTAGTGTAAATAACAGGAATTAAGAAAAACCTAAAAATAACATGAATAAACAGGAAGTTTGGATAGGAAAGTCAATGGGATAATCACTATTAGAAGAATTACCTGTGTTGTGATGGCCACGGTAGGGACATTGGTTGGATGTATTTCTTTTGGATACAAAGCGTGGGTTTGAGCTTTTGAATAGCTAGTGCCTTGGCTATGTCCAGATGTCTTAATTTCACTCCCTTTGATAGGTTTGATTGAATCTTGTATATGCTTTCGAAGGATATTTCGAATGACACTGAATGTCCTGAAGTGACCAGATGTTTTGTCACTGAACTATATACACACATTTTCGATCTCCTTTTACTAGCCACGCCGGATAGTGTTCACTAGCGCGTTTGACATCAGTTATGTTGAATGTTTTCACAAGGTGAGGTTACTGGCCTCCCACCAATTAAATCTTCCTTTTTTCCGGGGTCTTATTATCAGATCAGGTGAAGTATAGGAGTGTATCGGCTTCAAATCATACCCGGATCTCCTGCATTATTTTTCATTTCGATTTCGATACAAGTATGGAATTTTCAGCATGTGATGTCGGGAGTCCAAATTTTGGAAGCCGACCATAGATACCAGGTGTACGTCGGCAAGGGATCGAACCTCGGATCATGTGTATTGTCGGTGAGAGTCCTAACCACTGTGCCACCGACGCATGACTCCAACTGAATCCCCAAGACACACTTTTTCTAAAAGCATTGATAACCACTTCAACTTACCGCCTAATACATAAACATGCTATTTTTGCGAGTTGATCACGGATTGATATCAGTTAGAGAACCATTGAAAACCAGCTGGAGGGAGTACTGGACAGCTGCTCTATCAGCCTAGTTTGAAAATCATCGGCAGTACGCACCCATTATCAGGATTAGAACCCAAGAGCTTCCGGTTACAAGGCAAGCTAGCTCGTATACCATTTACCCACTGGGACCCGATCCAATGGCCAATCCATGAATTCTAGCCTCTACCAATTCATGATTTAGTGCGACCCCAACCATTGTCGTAGGTGGGACATGCATCCTCACATGTGACATCTGGATTGACCTCACTGGTCACAACTTCTCACTAGGACTGACTTCAGGAAACTCTATCCTGTAACAAGTGACTCACTAGCGAGCATAAGATTAATTTTCTATAGTTTGGTTTGTAAGAGTACTTACTCCCTGGCTTTCAATGGTTCTCTAACTGATGACATCAACCCTTATATAGACATGACAACCCTTACAAACCAAACTATAGAAAACATGATATTCTTGATTTTTCATTCAATATTTTTTTGTTTTGCTTTATCTTTCTATTTTCCCCATGATTAGATAATGTTCTGTACACGAAATACGCACAAGTTAGATATGGAAAAGCTGCTTTGCTATGAAATTGGTTTAAACGACTTCCTTTTCGCGCATATACAAGGACAACCGAAAGAGATTAAAATACGCAAAACAAGTGAATCATTTGGTTTAACTTTGACAGATAATGGTTGTGGTGTTGTCATTATAAAACGTTTACAACCAAATGGTTTAATGGATAGAGTATCAAAAGCCTGTGGTAATCTAATACAACCAGGGGATCAAATTGAGAAAATCAATGATATATCATTTACTGGTAAACGTCATTATCATGTTGCAGGATATTTACAAACTATTCCTATTGGAGGCGTATTTTGTCTTCGATTAATTTCACCGGAACGTTGTCCTATGTGTAAGTCTGTATGTATTATAAATTATTGATCAAAAAAGCTCTTCTCAATATGCTACTCTTCACGCGGTAAATTTATGTATTCATATTACTTAAATAATGAATTTTCGTCTAACAGTTTAATGTAGTTTGCTTGCAAGGGGGATTTCATCATGAGCTGACACCAGTTGGAGAACCATTCGAAAACCTGGGAGTACTGGACAGCTATTTTGTCAGCCTAGTTTGGGACTAACTCTTCAGCAGTACGCACCCACCGGGTTTCGAACCCAGGACCTCCTGGTTACAAGGTGAGCTTGTAGACCATTGAGCCACTGGGACCCGATCCAATGGTCCTTGAATTATAACTTCTGTCAATTCATGACGTAGCGCGACCACTTCACAACGTCTTCTTCGATGATGAGTTACTGCCTCATCTTCAACCTGCCGTACCCTACTGGTCCCACTAGAACCCCAGGTCACCGCATGAATAGGGCCAGTCGCTAGTGAAATTCTCCATGCAATCAAACAAAAACATCCCTACAAAGCCAATACTTGAAGTTTAATGTAGTGTCAAGTCAATCCGAATACCTGAGTGATAACGTCTCCCACTGACTGAAGCACTGACTAGGTGACACGGGTTCGAATCTCAGAAGGGAAATGAGTTGCTTCAAGATGGTAGATACGCCCTGTTGACTGTTCAGTACCAATCAGCAGGAAACTTATATCACCCTCAATCATCTAAAAATGTCAACTATTTTGAATGCGCCATTGGCTTAGCGAAAGAGTTCCATCCAGCCATGAAACACAGACGCTCTCCAAAACTTCTCGCAGCTGGCAATAAGGCCGGTAAAGACAGAAGGTTGGACATGAGGCTGGCAACCCCCACCCCTCCCGTGTTGACCACTTCACTTATTTGGGAGGAAGTTGCATCAGCCAGCCACAGTGGGTTGATCGCTGACGAAATTTCAGTACGGAAACAGATGGCTAGTTTCGAATATGCCAGTTTAAGCCGTCTCTAGCTTGCTAAACGTGATATCCGGCTATCCACTAATGGGCGTGTTTATTGCTCAGCAATCCGGTCCGTCCTCTTTTATGGCTGTAAGACCTGGTCAATGAGAGTGGAAGGCATAAAAAGGCCAGCTATCTTTGATCATAAGTGCCTGCGTTCTATCTCCCGTATGAAATGGTATAATAGGGTTAGCAATATTGAGGTTAGGCGTCGATCGAGTGCTAGGTAGGGAGACAGGGAAAATCAACAGACGAAGCTGTGAAGTTACATCGACTGAGATGGTTAGGAGATGTGCTACGCATGCCTAACTATCGCCTTCCTCGACCGAAGAGGCATATTAGCTGACATAGGGTCAGGTTGGAAAAGAGTCAGTGGTGATGGTCAAACCAAAACATGGCTTCATCAGCCAATGAAATCCCCAACAGTTAGTTTAAGCTAGCCACGTAGGGAGGCGTAGACTTCTTGACTGGCTGGTTGGGGTCTTCGGGACGGTAAACACCAATGGCTTGGGACAATTAATGATATGGCTCAAAATCTTCGCTGTCAATGGCGCAGATGCATCCACTCCTTGTGGCTTATCATATCCAATAAAGTTCTATTGTTCTTCGATATCACTATTCTTTTTGCCCCATATCTCTGTTTACTCTCTCTCTATTTTGCGTTTCTTTTTACTTTCCTTCTCTGGCTTTATTTGCTGAGTGAAGTGTGGCGACTCGAACTGCTGCACATCTGTGCTGTTCAAAGTTCTATGTTGAAACCAGCCAGCCAGCCAGCCAGTCGACCGAGTAACAATAAAACACCACTGCTACTGAAACTTCAAAGCTCTAGCTTGAAACTTTATGTTCCACCCGGATTATAAAGAAATAAAATAAAATTAAGAAAACGGTGCTTCTGTAGAATTCACAGAATCGGCGTGTCAGTAAAAGAATTTTCAACTGTCTATAGACTTTCATCACCAGCTGTTCCCTTCTCAAAAGGTACTGAAAATCAGAAAGGATAAGCAACAAGAAGGTCCAGCAGAAAAGTAACCATGTTGTCGATTGGAACCAGGATAGGAAGGGATGAGTTGGGCCTGTGAAGGTGATATGAAGAAGCATGTGAAGAGGATATGAAGGCTTTTTGAGAGCAGAGCAACTTAAAATAACGGTAGAAATAGCAGAGAGTAGTGGAGATTTACTGCTGAAATCCTATGTCCCACTCGGAATGCAAGGAAAAACCAACAAATAATAATATCATTTCGATAATGATAATAATAGAGACGATTTGCAGCCTAGGTAGATGGTTTCTAATTATTATTCTTCTCTGAGCTGGTTAGTTGGTTTAGTCGCGGAGCTTTCGTCGTCCTTCTAGACAACATCTTCAGCGCAGTATTTAGCATAAAGTGAAATGATTTAAATTTCTTCATGAGTGATATAATTGCGTCTCCCAGTAACGATCTTTACATATGTACACTGACCATTTTCTATTGACTTGGATTTTAAACTTTCTGATCACCTGATCTACTTTCTATCAGTTGGTATATTTCGTCTATATTAACGTGTTTGTTAATTGCATACTTGTTTGAGTAAAAGGCTTCTAGGAATTCTCTGGCACTGCACTTTTGGTGTTTCCTCTATCTAGGATTTCGACATTATCCCAATCAAACTGGTGTCCATAATCGTCTGTATGCATTGATATGAAGGAATACATATCGTGTCTTTTCACGGCTGATTTGTGTTCTGGGATCCTGATTCGAAGGGAACGCTCAATCTGGTCGATGTAATGCCTGTTACAGTTCATACATGCAATTTATTTTGTAAATGGTATTAATTTTATCTCCTTTTTCTGTTGGATCTTTCGGTTTGCATTATATCGAATTAAGCGATTTGACTGGCTGGCTTGTGTGTTATATCTATATCAAACGGTTCCAGTATTCTAGCTGTTATTTCAGAAATATTTTTCATGCGTATGGTAGGATGAATTTTCTGGTGGTCTTTGATGATGGTTTCTTGTTGGTGTTGTGATTTGATCTCAAACACTTTTTGATGAAATTGTTAGGGGGGATAACCATTCTTTTTGAAGACCGTTAATAGGTATTTTTCTTCCATTCTTTTCAACTCTGGAGTGCTGCAGTGTGTTTGAACTCTTTTAAACAATGTCTGCACACAGTTTCTTTTGTGAGTAATTGGATTATTGCTAGAATTACAGCTAGAATACTGGAACCGTTTGATATAGATATAACACACAAGCCAGCCAGTCAAATCGCTTAATTCGATATAATGCAAACCGAAAGATCCAACAGAAAAAGGAGATAAAATTAATACCATTTACAAAATAAATTGCATGTATGAACTGTAACAAGCATTACATCGGCCAGATTGGGCGTTCCCTTCGAATCAGAATCCCAGAACACAAATCAGCCGTGAAAAGACACGATATGTATTCCTTCATATCAATGCATACAGACGATTATGGACACCAGTTTGATTGGGATAATGTCGAAATCCTAGATAGAGGAAACACCAAAAGTGCAGTGCCAGGGAATTCCTAGAAGCCTTTTACTCAAACAAGTATGCAATTAACAAACACGTTAATATAGACGAAATATACCAACTGATAGAAAGTAGATCAGGTGATCAGAAAGTTTAAAGTCCAAGTCAATAGAAAATGGTCAGTGTACATATGTAAAGATCGTTACTGGGAGACGCAATTATATCACTCATGAAGAAATTTAAATCATTTCACTTTATGCTAAATACTGCGCTGAAGATGTTGTCTAGAAGGACGACGAAAGCTCCGCGACTAAACCAACTAACCAGCTCAGAGAACTCTATTAACTGGAAATCATTTCAGAAAGGACTGATTTTTAAAAATCGAATCATTAAATCAAATGATAAGGATCACACCATGTATTCAAATAACCTTCAGGAAAATTACAAATTCAGTTTCCCAAAGCATCCAGCAGTGATAGTGAGAATGAAGAACCAATTACTAATAGACTAGCGATTTCTTGTTGTACTCATCAGATCAGCTGATCATGTTAGGCTAATTGAATCGATCATTATTCTACGAATCCAAGCGGCCAGTCTCAAGACATCTTCCAGTGTATTGATGTTATAGAGAGCTAACGCAGACCAGTCATTCTTCGTTATTTACCATGTTTCTACCAGTTTTCTGAGAAAGATTAGTCTCCAGATGCAAGTAAAAATTGCGCAGGTGATTGAAATATGAATAAAAAAATAGTCAAAATTATGCATCCAAAAGAAGCATGTACAACCTCCATCAATGAACTGGTCAGCTTTATAATCAGAAAATCCTTGGGCATCATATACATATGAACTTTTAATTCCAATCTTCAACAACTTATGCAGTTATCTTCCTAGATCACGGTATCTTTAATTATTTTATCACAGGTGATCTCACCTGGTAACCAGGAGGCCCTGGGTTCGAACCCTGATGGTCGGTGCTTACTACTAAACAGTCCCAAACTAGGATAACAAAACAGGAGTCCAGTACTTCCATTTGGTTTTCCAGTGGTTCTCTAACTGTTGTCAGCATTTGACCAGTCCTGTGGCCAATCAAATCTTTGCAAACCGACACTTGATAATTAAACGGATGCTCCCTAGTAACTGGCACTACACAGGAAGTTAGCTGGGGTTCTGGTGAGAAGGGTTCACCAAGTCAGCCGAGAGGACGGTTAATCGCCTATCACACCGGTTGGCGGTAGCACTTAATATATACATCACGAATTAGCAGGAGATGGAATTCATGAACCATTGAGTTGGATCCCAGTGGTTGAATGATCTACCGACTAGCTCGTCTTGTGACCGAAAGGCCGTCAGTTTGAACTCTGGTGATGAATGTGTACTGATGAAGAGTTCGGAACTAGGTTGATGAATCACCTAGCTGGCTGACAGTACTCGAGTGTTGGTTTTCCAATGGTTCTCTAACCAAAGTTACCGCACAGTGAAATCCTGTAATTCTTTTCTAAAGAGTACTAACAAACAGTCAGTCTAGCCATAGGACCTCTTTAAGA